GGTTTGAATTCCCAAAAAAAATGCAATAGGCTTCTTGAAGAAGCTTGAGAAAGTTAACGGAAAGATAACGGAGAAATGGACGGAAGTGATGGACGTAACAGCCCAACAAACGGAAGTTACAAAAAGGGGTTATTTTCTTCCATTCTTATAGGTTAGGGGCTAAAACCGTTATGTTATAAGGTGAGGGGCCAAAACCGTCTAACTTATCAAGGTAAGGGGCTATTCTTAGGCTATTGCCGACATTTCTTGACTTTGGCTATGCATACTCATTCATAATTCATAATTGAGTGAGTGGCATTTGTTATGTATCTTCATGCAAATATCCTCTTGACTTTCTCATTGACTTACCTACTTTTTTAAGGTCGTGCTTGGAACGCGATTGTTTTAGAAAAAGAGTGGCAGGACATTTATTGATGATGATAACTGTTCATAGTCATTCATAATTTAGTAGCATTTGTTATGCATCTTCTTGGAAATATCCTCTTGACTTTCTCATTGACTTGCCTACAACTTTAAATTCCTTTTTGGTGTAAATGGAAAATTTTATAAATAGATTAATTAAAATTTAAAAATATTAGTTTAATAGTCAAAATAATCATTTCGATATACTGTAAGAGTATAAAGAAGCACAAAAAATAAGAACAAAATCATGAGGTGAAGAAAGAAAGGAATTCGAGGAAGGGAAAAACTCAAATAAAGAGATATATAACTAGCAACGCAGAAGTGGGTGAAAAAAAAAAAAGAACGGAGGCTTAGAAAATAAAACTTATTATTCTAACAAGTCACTTAAGATTATTAAGTCAAATTTTACATAAAAAATCAAATTAACACAATTAAAATAAATCATAAAAAATATATTTTAAACACAAGTTTGATATAAGGGTCAATAAATTTGATCCATGACCCCTTATATCAATTCTTAGCTATGCCACTGGTTTATATTGTATTATTATTAACAATAAAAATAATATAATTATAATATTATAAAACAATATACGAATCAATCATATTAAGATACATTATAATTATAAATTTAAAATACTATATGATGTTATAGTGATATTATTTTTGTATCAATAATTATAGGTGATGATGTAAGGACTACTTATTTACACAACCTTTATTCACAAATTAATTACATATGTTATTATATAAGTGAATAAATATAATATTATAAGTTCTATTAAAGCTAAAAGGAGTTAATAATTAAATTATATGTAAAATTATAAAAAAAAATTATACCCAAAAAATTATCCTTTAATTATTTTTCGTAATTATACTAGTTATTTTAATTGTTTACCTGAAAAATAAATATAACTTTAATTTATGGGGTCTATTTGTAATATTATATGTATCAACTCTTATATTATTATAAATTTATAATCTTACATGATATTGTAACTATAATATAAAATATAAAATATAGAATATTTATATGGGCAGGGTGTGAAATAAAGCTTGTTTTCATGTATTTTACGCTTTCATCCTTCAAGTCTTTCTTTTTGAGCCACTAAGCTTCTATTGTTGATTTCCCTTGCATTTCCTAAGCATCTTCTAGGAAATACATCCTGCAATTGCCTAGCTAGTAGGGCTGGGCATGATATGGTACGGTTACCATACCGCTCTCAAATGATGGTAACCATTTTAAGTGGTAATGAAAATAATTTACCACTTCCATACCAATTGATGATTTTTTAGTAATAGCTGCCAACCGTTTTTAATAGCAATGAAACTTGCCTTACCAATACCATCCCATATTACCATCTTTAAACTTATTTTCTTCATTATCAATTAATTCAAGTTATTCAAAATTTAATCTTAAAAACTCAAAATTATCTTAAAAACTTATTTTCTCCATATCGTTCTTCATCATCTTGAAGCATATAAATATATAATTATCCAAGACATGCACACATCAAAAAAAAAAGAAAAAGAGAACCAGCAACAATTGAAAACTGCGTAGAATAAAAAAAAAAAGAAAAAAAAAGAAAAAATGAGGAAGGTTCCCGATCTTTCTCTCCTTGGAGTTCCCTCCCCCCAATTCCGATCATCACCACCATCCGCATCTTCACCATCACCTCCAGTTTCGATCTCCATCTCCAGTAGCTATAGGTTTCTTCATCCATTTCACTCCATCACCGGAAATCCATCTCCAGATCTGCTTGTCTCCGTCCCATAGCAGTTGTAGGCCATAGATCTAGGGGTTTTTGAGGAGTGGAGAAAAAAGAGAATTTCTCTCTTTGGCGGAAGAGAAAGAAGTAGAGGAAGAAAGTTGAGTAGGGATAATGAGATATTACTATTTACATTGCCAAATTATTGGGAAATTTTCAAAAATTACCACCGTTTTAGAAAAAAAAATTATTAAAAATATTCTAAAATTGAAAAAAAAAAAGTTTTAGATAAGTGGTAAATTCGGTAACCATATGATAAATATAGTAATGACCTCCAATACCAATCTCGTACCACATGTCTAAATGGTATTGCCATATTACCATTTAGACCTATCATATGGTAATTTCCCGTACCGTTTCTGTTGGTAATGGAACGATATAATGGTAATTGTGGCATTTATGGTATAGTGCCCAGCCCTACTAGCTAGTGCCTATTTAAGTTGTTTCCTCTCCTTTGTTGGCTCATCAACTCCCCGCATCAGAAATTGAACCTGCTGCCAGTTCTAATAATTTGCTTTGCTCGGCTCAAGTTGGTTATTAGTGTCCAACTTTACCTACGTCTTCTGCTACATGTAAATATTCCTTCCTCCTTTGGGGCCTCAGACTGTATCGAAAAATGATTTATATATCCTTAGTTTAATATATTTTTTGACCACTTTTGATTTAATAATTAAAAATATAATATAAATATAATCAATTTT